GGGGGGGCTGAGTGCGGCTGGGGGTCGGAACCGCGGCAGGCAGCCGCGTGCCATTCAAAATCGGCTCGTGTGCTGTGTTTGGCACGCGTGCCGTAGGTTGCCGACCCCTGTCCTAGGTGCATCTACACCAGGACTCCCCAGCATTTTTCTCACCGCTGGCCTAGCACTACAGCAGCTTTACCGGTGGTAATAAAGTACTGCTCCATCCACTATGATGGAGCCGAGTGTTCTCATGTGTCCACCCTCCTTTGCAGGCCAGTCTAGAGGGGTGGGGAGGAGTCATGGTTCCTCTCTTTTCAAGATAAGTAGTCCCTGCGCTGCCGAGAGCTCAAGCACTGCTATTGTGAACAGCGACTGCACAACGAGGAAGCAAGCTTCGGGCTCAGCCCTTCACAGCCACTGCTCGCAGTCCAGCCCTAAGTTAACAGGATCGCCATTGGAGCTGTTCTCAGAATGTGCCCTGCATCCTCTGGGGTTGGAGACAGCTTGCTCATGAGCTTGGATTGCTCCTAAGATCCAGGCACTAATGGCTGATCAGTGACATGCAGCATTCCAGGAGGATATGGTGGCCCTTTGCCCATATCCCAAATTCCTATCCAAGGGGGGTCTCCGATTTCCACCTCCGCGAACCTCCTGTATTTCCCCCCGAATCTCACTCACTATCATAGGCGTGTGCAGGGGGTGTGCTGGGTGTGCCTGGGCACACCCTAATGCAGGGCAGGCAGAGCTGTGGGGGGGGCGGGGCTACGTGCTCCCGCAAGGCAGCGTGTATGGCGCCGCGCTGAGCCAGACGCTGCTAGGAGCCTCCCTCGGGGGGGGGGGGGGGGGGGGGGGGGGGGGGGGGAGTCGGGGTACAGGGAGCAGGGTGGGTTGGGCCAGTGGGTGAGGTGCTCTCACCTTGGGGGCAGCTCCCCCCTGCCCAGCGTCCCTGCGTGCAGGGGAGAGTCTCGGCAGAGGCAGGGCAACTCTGTACGCTGACTCCCTCCCCACTCCCAGCGCTGACCTGGTTCCCAGCCCATTGGCCAGGAACCCCGGTCAATGGGAGCTGTGGGGGGGGCGGTGCCAGAGCTGCCTGACCCCGCCTCCCCTGCAGGGGGGGGGGGGGGGGGGGGGGGGCGGGGGCCGCCGGCCCCCGCCCCCCCGGGGGGGGGGGGGGGGAGCTGCAGGCAGAGAGAGCCTCAGGAGATTCTTCAGTGGGACAAGGAGTCCAGGGCAGCCGGCGGGGTTAGCAGGGGGTCTGGCGCTGGCAGCAGCAAGTGACCTGGCCCCAGCCCGCTCTGCTCCACCCCACCGGCTCCCAGCGTTGCTCAGTGGTGGGGGTTTGGGGAAGGGGTGGGGCATGCTGGGGACGGGTTGCTCGCTGGTGCCAGGCTCCCCGCTAAGCCCCCAGGCTGCCCTGGACCCTGTGTCCCCCTGAAGCACAAGGCCCCCCCCAAAGCACAGGGTCCAGGGCGGTTGCCCCGATCCGTCCTATGGTTGGGACAGCTCTGCTTGGGCACCACCAAAAATCATACAAACCTGCCGCCCCTGATTGGATAGGGGGTGGGATTATGGGGTGGTGGTTAGGGGCGGGGGTCTCTGGAGGGGGCGGTCAGGGAGCAGAGGGGGTTGGATGGGGCATGGGAGTCCCGGGGTCTGTCAGGAGGCGGGGGGTGGCTAGAGGTCAGGGCAGTCAGGGGACAGGGAGCAAGGAGGGTCATGGGGGGGGGTCTTTGGAGGCGGTGGTCAGGGGACAAGGAGCTGGGGGGGGTTGGATGAGTCGGGAGTTCTGGGGGGGCTGTCAGGAGGCAGGGGTGTGGAGAGGGGTTGGGGGAGGCAGGGAGCAGGGGGGGTTGTATGGGTCGGAAGTTCTGGGGGTCCTGTCAGGGGGTGGGGAGCAGTTGGATAGGTGTGGGAGTTCTGGGGGTCTGGAAACGGGTCGGGGCAGTCAGGGGACAGGTAGAGTCCTAGGGGGGCAGTCAGGGGACAAGGAGCAGGGAGGCTTAGGTAGGGGGTGGGGTCCTGGGGAGCAGTTAGGGGCAGGGGTCCCAGGAGGGGTAGTCAGGGGACAAGGAGCAGGAGGGGTTGGGAGTTCTGAGGGGGGAAGTCAGGGGGCGGGAAGTAGGAGGGAGTGGATGGGGGCAGGGTGGGGGCAGGGCTAGGGCATAGCAGAGGCGGGGCTTCCTGGGTGCACACCCTAATGAAATGGACTGCGCACGCCTATGCTCACTATCAGGGGAGACTGGGCTGCGATGGCTAGACATTAAGAGGGCTTTAAGCTACTATCTGAACAGGACTACACCACCCCATAAATCACCTTGACGAAAAAGCATGGGAATAATGCTAGGAGCCAATCAATTCCCACCTAGGCTGTCCATGTGGATTAGTCTCTGTGCACGCTCTTGCCAAGAACGAGATGAAATTCTGGCACATTCCACCAGGCCTAAGGCAGCTGCAGGGGCTCGCCACAAAACGTCTGTTGCTGGGGTATATAAGATATGACATGGAGCTCCATACATATATTCATGCTGCGTTATTCTAGATCAGAGCCTCAATCTGAGAGGGCAGTCCTGCGAAGTTTACTCGGGAGAGACTCCTCAGATCCACCTCCTTTGAGTCTTGCAGCTGTCTGTTAATTACCAAGAGCGGGGCTCTATGCAGGTAATGCTCACAGAAAGAAGATCGGTTGCTCACCATAATAGCTGCATACTTCCAGACGATTGCGTGCATGGATTCTTATTACCTGTCCACCTTCCCTAATACTCCAAGTAATAAAACAGATGCTTGGTCGAGCAGAGGGAGCTGAGTGGTAGCTGGGGCTGCTCCCATTTATGACCCTTCAGGTGGGGACACAAGGGCGTAGACGGGACGCAAGCAGCCCCAATGGACTGTGCTATCCGGGAAGCTGAGCTTGCGTACGGAGCGTGCACATATCACCAAGGGTGTGGAGCCATGCAGGCAAACATCTCAAATAGACATAGCTACTCTGGGGTGTAACACCAAAATCCACTACTGAGCACGGACATCAATCTAGGGCTGGTGCATCCCTTCCTGTCGGCGTATTCATGCCGCAAAGAAAATGAATAAGGGGAAATGCCGATTAATACGGTTAGAAGCAGAAGTTTTCTCTTGTGTTTAGCACTGAGTGCTGATGAAGTATTAGCTTGTCAAAAAGCAGATGTGTTGGGCGGGGAGGGGGGGTATATCGGCCACTTCTGAATTAAGTCTCTTTAATATTAGGTTGTTGTCAAATTCTCCAGAGTTAATCCAAAGACAATACTAGACAACAAGCCAAGAACAGGAAACTCAATCCAAGACTTGCATTTCTATTCAGTGATTCCAACACAATGCACTGGAAGATAAAGAAAGAAACTCAACATCTGTTTTATTTATGTAGTCATAGAACAAACAGAGGTTTATATTTCTGCCTTTTGAAGCTGAAGTTTCCTACTGAATTAAATGTCTTTCTTCCTTGCAGACACAGCTGATTTACATAATTAACAACTTTCCTTACTGGAGAAAGGAAGTAGAACATGGAATTTTGCTAATGGAAGAGCGAATCCAATGTTTGAGTCTCATGGAACCAAGACTACAGGTTCCAGAGTCTAATCACAGTGCAACGTATGTAGGAAATGGATTACCATACCAGGGACTGATTTTAAGATCATGAATTCTGCACAGTATACTTACACTGCCCAGTCAAGCTTCTCATTCTTGATTGAATTGTAGAGAGCCTGCAAAGAGAAAGAAACAAGAAGGAATTACTGTTTGGACTCTGCCATATATATTTCAAGATGTCAATGGAAAATGTGTAACTACCACTAGCAAGTGAGGTGCCTCTGAACAAGAAAGACCATTAGCCATGCATGGCAACTCTTAGACTTGAGCAGGAGCAAGAATACTGGTCAAGACTGGACAAAAATTTTAGAATATAGGGTCTGAGATTTCAATAATTCTCCAGCGGTAGAAACATCAGATACATTTTTTGTGCAAAATGTTGGTTTCGAAATATCACACAAGCTACTGAAATGCAAGATATTGTAAGGCCACAGGACTGCATCTGGGGCCAAACCCTGGCCCTATGGAAATCACTGGGAGTTTTGCCATTGACTTCAATTAAGTCAATTTCATCCCTGGCTTTTATAGAGATCTGTACCAGAATAGCTTACCTGTGAAACACATCAAAATCACTCAGCCTGAAACACACTTTCATATGTCCATCAGATATGCATACACAAAAGCACCCATAAAAATATTGTTTCTATGTGCAATTAACTTGCATTAAATAAACTGCAAATATCCTGTACATTGCTGTAGTACTAAGGGCCAGTGTCTTTGGCATCGGAAGTCCCAATTTGTTTGGTGTCAATGGCCTGTTGTGACAGGTCTTTACAAAGTGGTGGCCTGTAGGGGAATTTGAACTCCTATGGACATCAGATAGTTGGAATGAGTTTCCTCTGAGCGGGAGAGTTCATACCACCTTGGCTAAGTGAGTTTGATCAGGTCTCCCTCATGTGGCTGACCCATATAGTGGATAAGAGCCTACTATAGCTAACAGCTAATTGAGTAACTCCTTTAATTTAAGTGGCCATGGCCTGTATTTTTGTTCGTGAAATGCCCCAGGTTCTAGTGCAGCGTAACCCTACACTTGGGGAATACTTTACACACATCAGTAGATTTACTCCAGCTATCAGCTTATTCCTAAACACCCCCCCACCCAACCCTGTTAGCGTCTAGAAAAAGTAGAACTTGAAACAAGACAGACCATTATACACATGGTTACCAAAATACAGCACACCACCTTTGAGCAAATCTAGAAATCATCAGCTAAAGGTATGTAACTGTGGTACACCTCTACCCCGATATAACGCTGTCCTCGGGAGCCAAAAAGTCTTACCGCATTATATCGAACTTGCTTTGATCCGCCAGAGCGCGCAGCCCCGACCCCCTGGAGCGCTGTTTTACCGCAGCGTTATATCGGGTCGCGTTATATCGGGGTAGAGATGTACCCTTGAAACCAATTCAAGTACGCACACCAATAAACAATTAATTCCTACTAACCAGCACCCAGACATCCTTAACTCTGCCCCAAAACAAAATTCACTTACAATGAGAGCTGTGTGAATAGTGGATTTTTTGGTTCACTGGCAAATCCGAAACCACCAAAACAAAATTTGGTCAAACCAAAAAAATGTTTAAGCAAATTGAAAAGTTAAAAAAAAAAAACATTCCGGTCCAACAAAACATTTTATTCAACCCAAGACAAAATCTCATTTTGAACTTTTAGCTTTTTAAAATGTTTAAAATAAGACTGCTGTAGCCCACGAACGCTTATGCTCAAATAAATTTGTTAGTCTCTAAGATGCCACAAGTACTCCTGTTCTTCAAAACAAAACATCATTTCAAACTGAAAAATCCCAGGTTTCCTTTTGGCAGTGTTGACATGGAACATTTCAATTATTTTGGATTATTTTTCCTGTGAACAAAGCAATTTGGCAAAATTTCACAAATTTGACACAAATTCCCAAAATGTTTCTCTCTCATCAAATCTGCATTTTACGCCAAAAAAAAAAAAAAAAAAAAAAGGCTTACATAAAAAAAAGTAGCCGAGCTCTTCCTAGGACTATCAAGTTTAATCCAGTCTTATCCACCCATCACACAACTCACAAGTGGGCAGCCCTGACCCTGCAACAAGAGCCTCCCAGGCAAGCCTCAGCAGTGCCATGGAGCCCCACATGCTTCCCAATGCAGGATCAGGGTCTTAATGCTTCACTCTTATTCATACAAAAGTTGGGAAAACTCTGGCCTTTAATTCCACCACTTGCAACCAGGTCAAACAAAGACACTCTTACAATCCAAATCTCCTCCAACGCCAGACACAACTGTGTAGCGGTTACTAGCACCTTCCAGCCACTGTGCAAAATAATTTCTTGCACCCAGAGCTTGAGAAATATCACATACTGGGCCAGATACAGAGGTGTGTCTGAGCTATATTCAGTACCCCCGAGAGGTACCTGTTCGTGGGGCACAACTTAGCTTCATGGCCTCTCTAATGTGAAGTGACTAGAGCAAGCCTTCATGGCCATTCTGCAAACCCAGATTTGCCAGCGTGCAGCCTTTCCTGCCCGACATGCTCTGGCATAGTACTATACTGCGGGAGCAGGGCCAGGCCTGAGTGGCACAGGGCCACGGTATCTTTATTTTATCTCTTAAGCAAGATCATAAAATTACGTTCCTTAGATTAAAACAGGAACGGCTAGTGTTGCAATGAAGCATCACATGTACTAGTATTATCTGTGTTACACCAGAGCACACGGCCCCCAAGTGACATCCAGGGCCCCATTGTGGTGGGCACTGGACACACATGTAGGATAATGCAGACCCTGCTCTGAATTGTTTACATAGTCTATTACTGATCTGCAGTAGTTCCCACTGCTAACAGCTTTCCCTGGCCAGTGCTCCAAGGAGCTCATGAACCAAGGACAAACAATTAGACAGAGGTCAGGGAAAGGGGAATATTTACCTAATTCCAAGACAAGACATCACAAGTGGGTTTAACCAAACATAGGTGGGAGAAGGGGAAAGAGAACCAGGTTAACCCCAATGGTGCAGTTATAAATTAATTAGATCCAGGTTCCTTTTATCAGTATAGCATGAGCTGCCAGAGATGCCTATAGTTAAGAATTGCGTGATACTCTTCATTATGAGCCCGTTTTTATTTTGTTATAACTTTGCTAAACTTCAATTGTTCAGGCTGGTATTTCCATGTTTGTTCTCTGGCTCAGGTTTGCAAGAGACGGGGGTGAAGAGGGAGGAGTTTCAGTTAAAACCGTTCAGCTGTTTCCAAGAATGAGGTTAGGGGAAAACAGATAGTTTTGCCAACATTAACTTTTTGGCCAGTTGTTTCTTTGAAGAGCTCTAGCATCCCCAGACTTTGTAGCAGGGATTGGAAATTTGGCAGAAGGATGGTCCTGGAGTCGAGGAGGTGCCTTTTGTTGTCATTTTGAAAGTCCAGCCAGATCTGGTCGAGTTAAAAACAAGTTAAAATGGTTATTTGCACACACTCAGTATTACTGATTACAGGTTTGCTGCTAAAAATCTCCAGAGATCCATCTGCACCGAGTACACTCCAGCCCAATGGGGCTTCCTACACAGTGGGCACAAAACCAGAGCTCCAGCTGGGGAAGGCAGCAGCGACTACCCCCCTAATTTTGCCTACAGGAAGGTACTTGGGGTTGGGACCAGCAGGAGACAATGGGTTCTCGTCTCAGCTCTTCCACTGACGGACGTTAATTATGTGCATTATTACAGAACAAGGCCTGACATTTCTACTTTAACAGGGTAGTGGGCATCATCCACCCAGTCAGATGGTGGGCACGTGGGGAGGAATAGAGAGCCCCCCCAGAAAACAATATATTCTCTCCACAAGATAGATCAATATTATTATTTTATTATTTACACAATGGACAGGAACTCATCCCTAGCCCCTTTCTCCTCTCACTGCTACAGAGGGTATTCCAGAGAGAGGATGGATTGTCTGGTAGTGAGAGTCCTCGCTTGGGCTGTGGGAGCTCCGGGTTCAAGCATCCTGTGAGAGCCTGGGCAAGTTACAGTGTCTTTCTGTGCCTCAGTTCCCCATCCATAAAACAGGGATAACAGCACTGCTCTGCCTCACAGCCATGCTTTGAAGACAATACATTACAGATTGGGATGCGCACAGATCTAGCACTGGAGTAACTTCTGCAGCCTCCATGGCGCTGGCAGGTATGCAGTGGGGAAGAGAGGCTGTGTTTCCCAGTGGGTAGGGGGCAGGGCTGGGCTAGGAGTCAGCAACACTTCACCTCTGTGTGCTAGGGTTGCCAATCCTCCAGGATTGTCCTGGAGTCTCCGGGAATTAAAGGTTCATCTTTAATTAAAGATTATGTCATGTGATGAAACCTCCAGGAATACGTCCAACCAAAACTGGCAACCCTACTCTGTGCCTGTTACTCCAAAGGCTTGAACCAGTGCTAGGCACTATACAGTTTGTCTTTCCCATTTAGATGGTAGCTCTATGACGGTCTCCCATTCGTGGTTTGTACAGCGACTAGCACAATCTTGTATTGTGTCTCTAAGTGCTACTTCAATTCAAATAATAAAATAGAGGATAGGGAGACCTGCAGTGCTGCTTAAAGGGGCAGCAGATAATTTCTGACTCTGCTTCCTGCATCTGCAGAGCAGTGCGCTGATGGCCCCTCCTTCTCCCAAGTCACCCTAATGCACAGCAGAGGTCTGGTGATGCTCACGCTCCCCACACGACAACATTCACCAGATCTAATGCAGGGCCCGGTACAAACAAATCACACAAACCCCCAGTGTATTATCACAAAAATGCAGGAAGAGTCAACGTTCATTCAGAGTGGGAAGGCCACTCCAATGGACAGGTCTCTGGGCTAGGACATGGGAGAGCAGGCTTCTATTCTCAGCTGGGCTACAGACCCGCTGCGTGACCCCGAGCAGGTCTATGCTGTGCTCTTCCCAATGGGCATATCCCTCGCCTTCCTCATAGGGGTACTGAGAGGCAAAACATCCATTAACAAATGTGAAGTGCTCCCATACTACATCGAGGTAGCTAGACAGATTCCTTCAATCTCTGTTAGTCACAGGGGTCATCCTTAAAAAGCTTCAATGCTACCTCAGTATCTGAGGTATTCACTGCACTTGCTATGGGGAATAACTAGAGACTATTGAGGCA